AATATCGGCGGCGGCGTCCTCGGCCACGTCCGCTGCAGGGGGAAGTGCTCAGGACGCAGACGATTGGCCGTTCCATCGAGTCCTTACGGCTTCTGTAGGATTTTCTGTGAGAGGCTGGAGACGGTCGCTCGGGACAGGCAGCTGCGGACATGATACTCCCCTCTCGGTCAACTCAGGTCATGCAATTCAGTTCTGACCTTCTTCTTTTTCAGCTGAGTATTTTCTCCGCGCTGAAGTGGCAACTTTCATATGTCGTTGGTGAATTAAATGTGTATGTGTGTCTGTGTGTATGTGTGTGTGTATGTATGTATGTGTGTGTGTGTGTATGTGTGCGTGCGTGTGCGTGCAAAATAAACAGATATATACAGAAGGAGAAAGAGAGATGGAAGGCGGGGAGAAAATGAGGAGCCTACAGCGATCGTCGTTCCTTTTCTTGCAACAAGTAGGAAACGCCAGACACCAAGAACAAAGCTAATCAAGATTTCCGCTTCGTGGAATATCTTGCCCGGAGCAATAAAAATAGCGAGAAAAATAACGAAAATTAGTTTGCTGAGGAAAGCCAATAAAGTGAGCGAGTGCATGAGTACACATACACATATACAAACGCACATACACACATATCCGTTCGCACACGCAAAAACAAACACACAACCACACGCGCCACGTAAGTCAGACAAAATAAGGAGCTCAACGAGAATGGAGAAAACAAGAAGAGAGAGAAAAAATATCCAGAGAGAGAGAGAGAGAGAGAGAGAGAGAGAGAGAGAGAGAGAGAGAGAGCGAGAGAAGAGAGAGAGAGAGAGAGAGAGAGAGAGAGAGAGAGAGAGAAGAGAGAGAGGAGAGAGAGAGAGAGAGAGAGAGAGAGAGAGAGAGAGAGAGAGAGAGAGAGAGAGAGAGAGAGAGAGAGAGGAGACGAGAGAGAGAGAGAAGAGAAGAGAGAGAGAGAGAGAGAGAGAGATCAACAAGACAAAAAGAAAACGAGAAAGAGCAAAAAGAGCCTAAAAGAGCGAGAAAAAAAAAACGAGAAGAGATGAAAAGCGTCTCAAAACGAGACTTTCCCCCCAACGCTAATTAAGAAAATATCAAGTTAATCTTTCCCTAAAGAAACAAACACTTAACCGGCCGAGTGGATTCTCCGTTTTCTTTCGGCGCAACTTCTCAACTTCCCACTTTCTCGACGGAAGGAGAAAGATGGCGCTGCTCCCCGTTATCAAAATGAGGAAGCTAATTAACTCTTTTTCATACGAGTGCTGAGCAAACTAACTTTTTTTTTTCCTTTTATGATTTCATACAGTTATTTTATCGTCTTCATCATCATTCATTTTATATAGCTGTTATGAAGGGAGAGGATGTTTATTTTTTTTTATTATCATCATTGTTGATATAATTATTATCATGGTCCTTATCTCTTCTTCGTCATCATCATTGTTATTATTATTATCATTGTTGTCAGTATTATTATTACATTTTCATCATTGTAAATATTATTTTTACTGTTTTAATTGTTATCATCGTTATCATCATCATCAGCGTCACACACACACACACACACACACACACACACAACACACACACACACACACATACACGCACACACACATAACACAACACACACATACACGCACACACACACACACACATACACACACACACACGCACACACACAAACAAACATACAAGCACACAAACACACACATTCACACACACACACAAAAACATACACATACACAGGCATACACCCCACACACCCGAGAAATTGGAAAAGCATAGTCATCCCGCGTGCCCCTTCCACTTCCTGAGAGTCGCAAGTGTTCAGCCATGTTTGGAAAAAGTCCCAAGGTGACCCTTCGTCCAGTAAGATGCCACACTTCGACCCCGTTTCGTACGCAAATGAGGCTCACATAACCATCGGGAAAGGAGTCCCCGGGAGGAAGGAGCTGTAGTTCGAATAAGATGCTTCATTTTGGCGATTTTCGAATCGGGTTTCGAAACTGGAGAGTGCGATCTGGCGTGCTGTGCGGATAGACTGTCGTGGAGAAAATAATTGATTGATGGTAAACGATAATGGTTTGAGTTTTTCAATGAGAAACGTCTGAAAATTAAATAATTTCGGTAATTTGCGTTTGTGTGAATGACTTGTTATTCGATTGTTGACTAAATTTTGCCACATTTGTAATCGGGTATCGAAAGTATCTATGGCGATTCGTGGAAAGTATCATGTATGCATTCGATGAAAAGTATACATGAAAATCTTCTTGCAAGAAACGGAAGTGCTCTGTGAGTGTGTTTGTTTGCGTGTACATAAGTGTGGAGCACACGCATGCATTCTCACATTTGAGAATTCAGTTTAGTCGATCGAACGTAGCCACGAAAATAGTGTGTGTGTTGNGAAGCTGCAAGGTATGTTATTATGAATTGATGAGCCAGATATAATATTACTCAGTAAAATTATTAAATGAGCTAAATGTTGTATAAAATGTTGTAAAGGCAGTTCCCATGTGTAGTGATTAAAAGTGACCAAGGCAGCACAAGCTCACACTAGGGGTCAGAGTGAGGGCTGATGCCACATTTGCCCTGGGAAGGTCTGAGAGAAGGGACATGAGAAGGTCTAGCAGGTCAACCTCTGAGAAGAGGGGCAGAACACCAGACATCCTTTTGGATCCTTGTTGTTTACAGTGTCAAGGACACCTATATATTATGTGAGTAATGTGTAGGTGGAGATGCGTGAACATCATTGGTTGGAAAGGCACTGTGTCCAGCTTAATTTAGTGTGATGTGTGAGGTGACAGTTGTCATAACTCAATTCAGACTATTCTGTATTGCCAAGTCCTTTATCAGCTGCTGATGGTTGTTGGCCAAATGTACAATGATTATGAGAGAGCTGAGCAGTTAGATTTTTAAAGTTTTGGAAGTACTTGTGATTTATAGAACATTTATTAATCTCATGTTATTTTCAGCAATAAGAAAAACACCGTGAGAGATGCTCAAGTTCTATTTCAAGATTGGAAATGCAAGGAAGAAAAGAAATAGAATCATGGTAAGCATGCAGTTCTTATTATTGTGTATATAAAGGTTTGAATTGGGAATATTTTGTAATATGATTATTAACTATTGGTGCAAATGTTAGATCCACTGAAAAATGTACTTGAAATAAATGATGGGACTCGAATTTCACAGTTGCTGTTCCACTGGTTTACCATCATTGACTTTTGAGGTTTTTTTAAGCCTGCATTGATAGACTTTGCATTTTAAACAGATTCACCATAGCATGGTGATGGAAGATCCAGAATGAGTTTTTCAGTTTTAAGTGCAAGGTATGTATTATGAATGAAGTATCATGGTATTATATTAGTTGAGCTATGATGAGTAAAATGTTGTAAAGGCAGTTCCATGTGTAGTGATAAAGTGACAAGGCAGCACAAGCTCACACTAGGGGTCAGAGTGAGGCTGATGCCCCTGGGAAGGTCTGAGAGAAGGGACATGAGAAGGTCTAGCAGGTCAACCTCTGAGAAGAGGGGCAGAACACCAGACATCCTTTTGGATCCTTGTTGTTTACAGTGTCAAGGACACCTATTTATTATGTGAGTAATGTGTAGGTGGAGGTGCGTGAACATCATTGGTTGGAAAGGCACTGTGTCCAGCTTAATTTAGTGTGATGTGTGAGGTGACAGTTGTCATAACTCAATTCAGACTATTCTGTATTGCCAAGTCCTTTATCAGCTGCTGATGGTTGTGGGCCAAATGTACAATGATTATGAGCTGAGCTGAGCAGTTAGATTTATTATGTGATGGAAGTACTTTGTTTTATAGACATTCATTAATCCTCCTCTGTCTTGCCTCCCTTCCTTCCAGCAATAGGAAAAGCACTGAGAGGGATGCTCACCTATTTCAAGACCCAAAATGCAAGGAATTGAAACAAATGGTAAGTATGTCTTAATGTCATGTTACATAAAGGTTTTTAATGGCTAATTGTAACAAGATTATTAAGTGTGGTGATATTGGATCTGTTGAAAAATATATTTGGAACAAATGAGACTAGGTATTTCACTGTTTCATTTACTGTCACTGATTTTGACATTGTATTTTGGTTGCATTTATGGATTTTCCCTTTTTAAACAGATGACCATATGCTGCTAGAAAATGCAGAATGATTTTTCTAGCTTGAAGTGCAAGGTATGTATTATGAATGAAGTATCATGTTATAGTAATTTGAGCTATGATGAGTAAAATGTTGTAAAGGCAGTGCCATGTAGTGATAAAGTGACAAGGCAGCACAAGCTCACACTAGGGGTCAGAGTGAGGCTGATGCCACATTTGCCCCTGGGAAGGTCTGAGAGAAGGGACATGAGAAGGTCTAGCAGGTCAACCTCTGAGAAGAGGGGCAGAACACCAGACATCCTTTTGGATCCTTGTTGTTTACAGTGTCAAGGACACCTATTATTATGTGAGTAATGTGTAGGTGGAGATGCGTGAACATCATTGGTTGGAAAGGCACTGTGTCCAGCTTAATTTAGTGTGATGTGTGAGGTGACAGTTGTCATAACTCAATTCAGACTATTCTGTATTGCCAAGTCCTTTATCAGCTGCTGATGGTTGTTGGCCAAATGTACAATGATTATGAGAGCTGAGCAGTTAGATTTTTAAAGTTTTGGAAGTACTTGTGATTTATAGAACATTTATTAATCTCATGTTATTTTCAGCAATAAGAAAAACACCGTGAGAGATGCTCAAGTTCTATTTCAAGATTGGAAATGCAAGGAAGAAAAGAAATAGAATCATGGTAAGCATGCAGTTCTTATTATTGTGTATATAAAGGTTTGAATTGGGAATATTTTGTAATATGATTATTAACTATTGGTGCAAATGTTAGATCCACTGAAAAATGTACTTGAAATAAATGATGGGACTCGAATTTCACAGTTGCTGTTCCACTGGTTTACCATCATTGACTTTTGAGGTTTTTGTTAAGCCTGCATTGATAGACTTTGCATTTTAAACAGATTCACCATAGCATGGTGATGGAAGATCCAGAATGAGTTTTTCAGTTTTAAGTGCAAGGTATGTATTATGAATGAAGTATCATGGTATTATATTAGTTGAGCTATGATGAGTAAAATGTTGTAAAGGCAGTTCCATGTGTAGTGATAAAGTGACAAGGCAGCACAAGCTCACACTAGGGGTCAGAGTGAGGCTGATGCCCCTGGGAAGGTCTGAGAGAAGGGACATGAGAAGGTCTAGCAGGTCAACCTCTGAGAAGAGGGGCAGAACACCAGACATCCTTTTGGATCCTTGTTGTTTACTGTGTCAAGGACACCTATTTATTATGTGAGTAATGTGTAGGTGGAGGTGCGTGAACATCATTGGTTGGAAAGGCACTGTGTCCAGCTTAATTTAGTGTGATGTGTGAGGTGACAGTTGTCATAACTCAATTCAGACTATTCTGTATTGCCAAGTCCTTTATCAGCTGCTGATGGTTGTGGGCCAAATGTACAATGATTATGAGAGCTGAGCAGTTAGATTATTATGTGATGGAAGTACTTTGTTTATAGGACATTCATTAATCCTCCTGTCTCTGTCCAGCAATAGGAAAAGCACTGAGAGGATGCTCACCTATTTCAAGAAAAATGCAAGGAATTGATACAAATGGTAAGTATGTAGGTCTTAATGTCATGTTACATAAAGGTTTTTAATGGCTAATTGTAACAAGATTATTAAGTGTGGGTGTAGATATTGGATCTGTTGAAAAATATATTTG